TAACGTCTGTGTTGTTATAGGCCATGCCATGGCGTGTTATAACGGATGTGTTGTTATAGGCCATGCCATGGCGTGTTATAACGTCTGTGTTGTTATAGGCCATGCCATGGCGTGTTATAACGGATGTGCTGTTATAGGCCATGCCATGGCGTGTTATAACGGATGTGGGGTTAGTCCATATAACACACTGTGGATAGCTCACACTGTGACGTGTTATAATTAACGCATAAGAGCTAATTAATACCTAATTAACAAAAAATACAGTAAATATCTACATACACCCAACCTCGTACATTGAATAGAATCACCACAAAACCACAAAATAAAGGTTTGATGTTGGCAAAAGTGATTAAAAGGAAATTTTCTCCCATACAATGACAATTTCTTTCATGTTTATTCGGTTGTGCCTATACTCGCGGGGCTGTGCCGGTGCTGCACGTCGCAAAAGCCATCGTTTCGGGATTTTACAACTTATTTTATTATATTTGGCCAATTATCGTTCGTTTTCGCCCGCGGTGCTCTCTCTCCGTCTCTCTTTCTCTCTCTCTCTCTCTCTCTCTCTCTCTCTCTCTCTCTCTCTCTCTCTCTCTCTCTCTCTCGGTTTGGGCTCTCTCTCCCTCTCTCTTTCTCTTCCCCTCTCCCCCTCTCTCTTTCACTCTCTCTCTCCCTCTCTCTTTCTCTTCCCCTCTCCCCCTCTCTCTTTCACTCTCTCTCTCTCTATTTCTCCATCGAAACACTCGGTAAATATGTTTCCTTCAACAGCCGTGTTTACTCGACGTGACTCATGTCTCACCATTATTAACTGGGGCAATGTTTTACCCACCGCTGCAGCAATCTGTAGACTGAGATGTTTCAAGCGGGTTGTTGGAGGTGATTAATGCGTGGCGTAGTGAAGCTATTTTTTCTCCTTACACAAACTCTTTCTTTTTGGAAATTCCCCCAGCCTACTGATCCTATTCCTCCCACTCTTAACCCGTTCACCACGAGTCTATCCATCATAGTTTACACCTGATTCATTCACTTTCAGGCAAGCCCTCAGAAGTACCGCCTTGAGACATGTCATACTGCATGGACATTAGTGTACTGCCGTACACAACACGATTCTCTCTCAGTTAACCTCAGTTGCCCAAAACCAAATTAGTCTTAACATAACCTCAACATTAACTGTTTCTCATAGACTGTTGACAGAAGCATGGCAAAGTTTTTCATATGCACTGCTTGCTTTGGTGCGCGCGTGCGTGTGAGCGCGTGTGTGTGTGCGTGTGTGTGTGTGTGCGTGCGTGTGTGCATGCGTGTGTGCGTGCGTGCGTGTGTGTGTGCGTGCATGCGTGTGTGCGTGCGTGTGTGCGTGCATGGAATCAGTATCTAACCCGCTTCCTTGTCTATTCAACGGTGGCTCGTTTTTCCAGGTGGCTTCTCCCTTCCCCATCCCTCCCCTCTCCCCCTTCCTCCTCCTCTCTCCTTCTCTCTCCCATCCTTCACCCTCCCTCCCCTCCCTCCTATTTTCCTCTCTCCCTCTCCCTCCCTCTCTCCCCCCTCGCTCCACTATCTCTCCATGAATCGATACCCACACAGTCTCAGCTGCCGGGCTGCTGCGCATGCGCACGCAAGCATCAGTCGACAGCACACGCGTTCGAGTCTGCGCACAGACTGGCGTCTCTCATCAGTATATACGGCCTGAGCGTGTAATGCACTACAGAGATTCGCGTGCGCGCGCCGAGAGAGATGGAGAAAGAGAGGGAGCTCTAGAAGAAAAATCCGCCAGTTTGTAGTGGCTTTTCTGGCTTACGTGAGCTAAGTGCAACGTTGTATAGCAAAAGGGAAAGAGAGAGTCGAAGGAGATGCACGAGAGGTAGAAGAGAACGAGCGACGAGAGTATAGAACGAGCAAGCGCTACACGGAGAGTACAGACGCGGACAAAGGCGCTTGCGAGAGAATATCAGGGCGTGAGAAAGAAAGCGGGAGCGAGCGAGAAGGACATAATAGAGAAGAGAAAGTGTACGCGCGTGAGAGCGAGAGAGAGATAGAGGGAACGAGAAAAAGATAGAAGTAGCGATAAGAGAGAGAGAGTGAGAGAGAGAGAGAGAGAGAGAAAGAGAAAGAGACGACGAGAGAAAGAAACATCAAGAGAGAGAGACAGATAGAGACAGACAACGTATGAGCTGTGATCTACTACGCTGCAGTGTTATATGTGAGGATTTGTGCCGGAGCTCCGTCGAGACAACGCAACAGACAACAACAACAACAACAACAACAACAACAACATCATCAGACAACCACAACAACCACAACAACAAAAATAAAAACAACAACACAGACGACGCCAACAACAGACACCACAACAACAACAATAACAGCAACAACAACAAGCAACACTAACAACAATAACGCCAACAGGCAACATTAAAAACAACAACAACAACAGGCAACAACAGCAGCAGCAGCAGCAACAGCAGCAGCAGCATCATGATGGATCATCACCGCTACTCCTTCTGGTTAACAGCAGCTCTGCAGCTGTGCGCGGTCTCGTCGGCTCAAAGGTAAGGCATCGCCGACGTGCAGGCTTCATAACTCCGTCCACACCGCACTCCCCGAACTCCTCTCTCTCCAACCTCTCACCATATATGCAACATGTTCTGCTAGCATCTATGACAAATACGACATACGCATATACGCTCTCCTATGACACTATTTGTTATAGCTAAGATTCTTCCTATGACAAATATTGGCGAGTCAACTTCGTTCCGCTTTACAGCTGAAATTCACTGCTTGCGTTCATAATAGCGCTCCTAAACTCCTATGATGCGCACAACACATACAACAATATATGTGTACAGACATCAGCACGAGCCACCTGAATGGTGACACGTTTGGTATCCCCATAGTTTTTTTATTTAGTTTTTTTTTTTTTTAGTTTTTTTTTTAGATTTGACACAAGTACATACATTTACACATATAGCTGATCAAATATGTAGACACATACATGATTTGCACAGTAATAAAAACATATTCAAATGGTATTTGGTATCATTTCTATGGTATCCCTCATATTTGACGTAAATGCGCAATAGAAAATAATAGTAGATAATATCAGGAGTGAATAATAATAATAGATTTTTATTATGTTTTTTTATGATGTGTTATTAGTGCACTCCTGATAATATGGGAACATTATTACTGCTTTATTTCGGTGTTTACAAGAACCTGTTCATATCGCACTGTATGAGCTCCAACCAACGTCCCTATCTGCGGTTTACCAATATAGTCCCACCTCCCTCACATACTCTCGCACAAACGTTACGCGTCGGGTTTTACAAGACTCCTACTATATATGTTACGAGACACATTCGCAGACATTGGATTTCGGGTTTTACGAGACGGTTTATCACGCCGACGTCATATCGCACCAACGTTTTATTTCGGGGTTTAGAGCGATTCCGTCTTGTGTGTGTGTGTGTGTGTGTGTGTGTGTGTGTGTGTGTGTGTGTGTGTGT